GTTACACCACCTACAATGAGAATCATAGAAGGCATTATTTTTTTAATACGTGTTGTAGAACTACCCCTGACTTTTTGAAAAACCCATGGTACGGATTATGCTATAAGTTTAAAAAAAGGTGTGCCGAATCTCCCAAAACTGTATCACCCAATCGTTGGGTGATATTGTATTTGGACAAAATCCGAGGTTGCTTGCAGACCAACACTAAAGTTTTGCTTTGATATTTGACCACCAATCGAGCTTACTTCCTCATGTCAGTCAATATTTGAAGGATTACACTCCCAGTCGTACACTGACGTATACTTACTCTATACTCATTACGTTAATTACAATACTGTAACTCGTTGAAATAATATGCATACTATTGGTTACAATTCAATGTACTGATTGTAGCCAATCATTGATTACATACAGAAAACCATATATTTAGTACAGTTGCCTCACTTCTTAAACCAACATTTGTATAACATATTAATGAAGTGAAATGGCGGGCAAATGACCCCATCTCTCCATGCAACATATTCATGATTTACTTATGTCTATTCACAGAATACTAAATATTAATTTAAAAGCAGCTATGCATGTGGGGCAGGTGAGAATTCAAACTCAAATCGTCAAGTGTTAATTTAACCATTTATAACATATATATATATTGGTAGAAAGTGACGCATATGAATAAATTAATAACTGTTGCTGAAGTGTTCAGCCCCAAGCGATTGCTGATGTAATTGTGAGCTCGGACACAAGGTTCAACGTGAATAATTGATTTTACAGATTGTGGCTCGTAGTATGATATCAAAAGGAACTGGTGGAAACATAGTCAACATATCGAGCCAAGCTTCATTGATGGCTTTCAAAAGTTTCGCAGCTTACGGTGAGCCTATTTCGCATTATTATTTTTAATATTATCTACACAATAAATGTGATACTTGTACAAAGTTTTATACATTTGAAATTTTACAAACTCTGCAATTGTATTCTTAATGTGACAAGTACCAAATGTAATAACATATGTCGATCACACAGGATGTATTTTTCTTGCCAATCAAATATACCGAAATTGTCCTATGAAGACAAAATTAAACATTCTATCTTTATTCAAGAGAGAGTGGGGTTAAATGCAGTAAGTCTCACACTAATGATAAATATAATGAATACAGCTATTCTTCCTTTTTAGGTGCTTCAAAAGCTGCACTCGATATGCTCACAAAGACAATGGCACTAGAACTGGCAACCCATAAAGTAAAGAATGATTTAGTTCATCTAAAAAAAAAAATTTAAAATAAATATTATTTTTTAGTTGTTAGACAAATGATTTCTAATGAATCCTGTTGTTAGATTATGTTATATCTACCTCACTCGATTGATGTACTCGCGAACGGGATTCATTGATTCATGGCTTATACATGTTCACAGTATGGATGGATATTCTAGTAATGAAGCGGTTTTAAGTGTGTGCCGAAGTTTATTTTGTTACTTAGCACACCAATATCTTGCAATCATCGAACAAATACATTTTATCACAATTTTGTTTTTTGACATTTGCAATGAACATTACAAACAATGTAAAGTTAATCATTTTTCATGTCAGATTCGAGTCAATTCTGTAAACCCTACTGTGGTGCTAACAGAATTAGGTAAACGTTCCTGGTCGGATCCTGTTAGGTCAGAAGTTATGATGAGTCGTATTCCAATGAACAAGTTTGCAGGTATTTATCACAATCTTGTGTACTCGCACTCAATTAATTAATTAAATAAATTTATTTATTTATTTATTTATTTATTTATTTATTTTTCAACAGAGGTGAAAGATGTTGTCAACGCTGTTGTTTATCTTTTGAGTGACAAAGCTGACATGATTACTGGTACTTGTTTACCAATTGAAGGTGGATTCGTTACAGCGGGAGTTTGAAAAGTCATACAACCCGAATATGATTATAGTTTAAAATATCGAAAACGATGAATTTTCTGCCAAAACCCACACAGATACAATAATAGACATTTTTGAATTATGACTGGCCCTAAGGGGTCCCAGGGCTCCATGGGAACTAGTTGGTGTCCTAATTTATCTCCAGATTTATATTAAGAAACGCAAATTACTTTGATGTCATTAGTCTTACTGATTATCGATCCATACTCAAAAGTGTTTTTATTTGTCTGAAGTTGTCGCAGATTCATCCATTCCCAACTGTGATGTGTTGAAAATTAGTAGCTTGTACTGTCATGATACTGTATACTGCTTGAACGCAGTCGGGTTTATTACTGGTTACAACAGGGGGGAACTAGGCCTGAAACATCATGCATTTTGGAGTCTTGCCCCAATCCTAGGAACAAGTAAGTTTACATAGAAAGAAACGGCAACCCCCTTGCTAAGACTGATTGAATTAGCTGGTGCATTGTGTCTTGGGCATTCGTTTTGTCAGAGCACCCCCTTACAGTAACAACAGGGGGGAACTAGGCCTGAAACATCATGCATTTTGGAGTCTTGCCCCAATCCTAGGAACAAGTAAGTTTACATAGAAAGAAACGGCAACCCCCTTGCTAAGACTGATTGAATTAGCTGGTGCATTGTGTCTTGGGCATTCGTTTTGTCAGAGCACCCCCTTACAGTAACAACCCATCTATTCGAGTTGGCAATGTAAATAAAAAATTATGCCGATAAATGTTTGAGAAATTAACTTGTTGCCCGAACGCCCTCTGGCACGTGAAGATGGACATTTGGACTCCCTCAGTCCAGTCATAATCAACATTACTATTATCAGATCTCTGCGACGTCTGGCAAATTATCCATCATTTTCGATATTTTCAAAAATCTCAGTGTGTAATATTAAGTATAAAATATTCTTGGTATTAATGTTCAATATTGTATTGATAAATGTGTTCAAAAATAAATCCCCAATTCAACCGATTTACTGATTACATGTCAGTCTATTTAAAAGCCTATCATAATTGAGATTATTCAGATGGAATTATTCTAATAAAGAATTCACATTGTAGAAATTAGATTGGCTCAACCATGTCAGCTTACTTTTTCCACAACATTGTCCTTGAATTAACGTATAATATAAGGTTTCAATGAAAATTAGATTCTGATGATTTACTAATAGCTTTAGAATGTTCATGTATTGCATTTCGCATGTACGCTATTGATATGTTATTGCCGCCTCATAATGCGTAACATGGCTTGTTTATTGTAAACTCTCCGTAGGGGTTATTAATAGAAATTTTAAATAGAGATATGTCAAAATCGTTCAAGAAGACTTAAGACGGTATATTCGGGCAGGAATTAGTTAAAAATGAATAGAAGAAGTCAAATCCATTTCACATTCAGATATAGTTATGATTTAGATGATCAAGAATCCTAAATTAAGTAATTTTATTCCAATGATATACATCCACTTAAACCTTAGATAAACATGAACACTAAATCTGATTCTTCTGGTTCATACCGTGCCTGATGTATCCTTGGAAGGAAAAGATGTATAATAATAAGGTTATTACGAGGATACCTCAAAGTTTGCACTCAGACAGTACGCTGTGCGTCGGTCGATACTGCCGCTGTACTTTCTTCGTGCATATTTTGAGGTATCCTCGTAATAACCCCATAGTATGCTGACATTTCGAACCAAGGCTTTTGTAGAAATCGACTAGCTTTATCATTCAC